CGCCTTCATATTTAAATTCCTATTTTTTTTTATTTTACCAAAGAAATGTTTTCTTTAGTAAAATATAATTTTTTTATATTGAAAATATTCACTCTCATAATCAATACAATAAAGGTAAATAGATTCTATTCGTGATTTGAAGAAAATCGTCTGCTTAATATTTTTGAGACAATCACGTTTTCTTTACTACATGCAATATATATTTTTAGTGTCAGCTATTTGTATATTTTATATCAACACGAAAGAACTTCTTTCATAGTTTTATTATAAATGTGTGTTGAATGTATAATGGGGCAAGGTTAAGATAATTTTGTACAATAATTTGTTTATAACAGATAAATCGTATTTGTAATAAATTTATAACATCCGTGAAAATGTATATAATATATTTGTATTTTAATAAAACTCACTGATTAACAGATCTTATTTAGAATATTTGCGCATTACATACTAACATTTTGGATATGAGTGCGAGTAAGTAAGAGTATAAAAGGATTTCGTAAAGGTAATAACACTGGTAATACGTTTTAGATCCATGTTTTTGTCAGATAAACAGTTTTCTAATCTTCAATCATAGTTGTTACAGAGGACTCGTGTAATTTTATTAATTATATTTTCTCGTACAGAAATTCAAAACCAGTCTCTCGAAAGAGGCTCAACAAAGTAATTGAAAATGAGTAGAAAAGCTCTTAAGGCCTAAGCGAAAATTGATTTCAAAGAATCATAATATAATTGCCGTGGTCCAAGTAGATGTTAAGAATTAACTCAATTAAATTTCTTCTAATTGATATGGTTAGTCGTTAGTAATGAATTCATCAAGGGCTAATTTCTTACCTTGAAATAGGTAATCGGAAGATTTTTTGAATCGAGAAAGCAACATTCCCGATGGTGTGTTTCTACTAGCCAGGGATTATCAAGTATTTTGTATTTTTTTTCCGGTAAAGTGTTAATATTTTTACATTGAATGTTTTTTGATATTTATATGGAAAGTATTTTTTAAGTTTTTGTGTACATCTGCTACATGATTTTTAAAACACAAAATGACTTTTATATCCTAATACATTTACAAAAATTCACCCCGCTGGTCTTCAATGGCTAAAACACAATATGTATAAAAAAGTATTGATGTAAATAAATCTCAACATATCAATATAATATAATTTACAGAAGGTTCAATATAATTTAGATATTTTTCGCGCACCATCGGCAATAACTTTTATATCTTAATAATAAATCAGAAGCATATAAGAATTTACATATTATATTAAATGTAATGTAACGTTATTAAATCATAACCATGAACCTTTCCCTTTATTGTAAATTTGATTTGAATTTATACTACATGTCTGATACAATTCTTACTGTAAGAAACTAATTTTTGTCATAAAATGAACATAACACAGGGTCATCGAACTTATATTTAAATAAAAAAATATGACCCTAAAACACAGATAACCGTACAAAAGAAACTATTGAAAAATTGAACTTTATTTGTATTCTAATAAGAGTCTGTTTTTTGTTATGGTCCAATTTTTTCAGGGATCCCTAAGGGGTGAGGTTACGTGGCTGGGGGAGGGGTCAGAAATGTGCGACACATATGGGCTCGCCGACTCGTCTTCATGAGAATTTCTGATTCATTGGCATTTATGGTTTTTTTCTTTTACTTTTTGAAATCAACTTTATTGCGATTGTCTTTGCATCATTACATTCTGCCTTTATGGATTAATAAAAAAATATTGTATTAATACGGGTCCCGTATTTTGAGACACAGAATGCATAGGTTTCAAAATTAAATCAGCTGTATATTATAATTTCAAACAGGTGTATGAAGAGAATAATAATATTAAGATTACCGTTCGGATGCTATATTATGAATATAAACTATGTATATGTATGAATAATATTTCATATTCCGTTCATTTTCACATTATTCAGTGTTTCTGGCAATAATCGAATCTGACTCATATCGTAATGTAGATTGAACTACCTTTCAATAAAGACCCACACTGTATAATATAGCAATCAATAATGATATAAAATTTATCCTTATCAAATTATTAGAGATACAAATAAGAAATTACTTTTTTGTGTTTGAATACGTAAGAGTCTGTTTGATTATTGACAAATTTTGAATACATATCTTAATATGCCGTTAGGTTTCAATTACAGATGAAGTATTAGGCTAGAAAAGTAGATGAATACTAGGACGAATAAATATACATATATACCGATATATAGCTATATACCAATATATAGCTAATATATACATTATATGTATGTATGTATATCTGAGCCATCCCAGCTTATCTAATCCTTGTTATCTCCCGGATTGTGATGGGATGCGATGTTCCTTGACATGTGGTGCACCACGTGGGTCTAGGGCAAAAAACAATTAAACGTTTTGAATATACACAGAAAAACATGCAAGCAGATGAATGCTTTAGTCCTTCGGCATTAGACTGGTTTTGCTTTGAAGTTATTCGGTAATTAGAACTTTTAGGCTTGAGGTTTTTACCTTGTGGGAGACTGCGATGTGACAGCCATAGGTTGGCATAATGCTGAACACATTGAATATATTGTGTTTAAGAAAACATGGAATTTGTAAAACGGTTTGATTTAGTTGTTTATGTATCTTAAATTGCTCTTTCAATGTAACAAATTTTTAAGAGACGTTTTACAACTATCATAAAAAGCACATTCAAACTAAATTAATCAAAGAAAGAAAAGAATCAAAAACATATTTTAATACTAGGGTTTATGTCTATTGCCTGTTTAAATTAGGTAGTATCGTCAACTCGTGCAAAATTTATAAAAAAGTGATGAGCTAAACATTTCATGTATTTTGTACAAGTCAAAGAGACATTATTCAAGACTGATTTAATTTTCCTGAAGTCTCAAAGCTATTTCACTTCATCAGCATTCTTCTAAGTGTTTCATGCAGCCGGCCACATCCAAACAATTTCAGTGCATTAAACTCCGGTGAAGCTGCGCACGCGCCGAGGGGACTCCAAAAATAGACTACCTACGGATTCCTGCGTTCAGATCTCGGACTTAACTGTTAGCACGGGATGTTACTTTAAAACAAACTGTTGTTACAATATTAAATTCATATTGAAGTATTTATGTATTGACATTTAATAAGGAATATTTAGGTACAACACATTTAACTTTAGAGTTTGGACCGCAAAGTTATAACTTTTTATATATTTGTAGAATAAAACTTATTAAATAATCAATAGTACTATTATATCACTTGCTTTGTGGAAAATAATTTAATAAGGGATGGAAGTTTAATTTCCTTTTAATAATCTTTTTTTTGTTAATATTCTTATCAATTAAAATTAATGTTGGTGATAATTCTGAATTATTTAAGATTACAAACCCTTAGACAGAATATACATTTTTAATTTCATAAATATATTACTAAATGCAGTATTTATAGGTATTTTCCTTACAATTATAATTGAAAAAATAACTTTAATTTTAGTAAAAACTAAATAATATAATGTCCCACCGCTAGTTTGAGGATAACAGTGGAAATATGGAAAAGATTGCCAGTTTTACCCAACCTAATTTGTGGTTTACGTAATGTTTAATGGAAATTATTCAGGTATTTATTTTTAATATTTTTTTATTTCAATTCAAGATAAAGTGAAATATATAAACAAATAACTTAAAGGAAAATTAAAATCTTATCTGAAAAATCAATCTTTTAGTTCAGTATTTAAAAAGCTGATAACTCGATTTAAATAAACTATAATTCAATAGAAGGGTAACGAAATAAACTATTAATATATTTTGATTAACTTCGTTAGTAGATCTATATTCAAAGATATTTGTTGCTGACATAGAGATGAAATTGAAAAACCATACAATATTATTACAATTAATTTATATAATTTACTCAATACATGAACATTTTTTTAATAATTCAAATATTTGTTATTCAAAATACAAACTAAACCTTCGATTATCTAAATAAGCATATTTTTAAACTACTTATCCCAATAATGCTGATAAAACTACATATTTATCTAAACATATTTCATTGTAATAAAAAGTGTTTTATTTCCAAAAAACATGTTTAACTCAAGTAGGATAAATATTGTTTTACGTAAAAAGGAATTGTTAAGTAAGTATCTTATAAATTCCTCATATGATATTAATAATATTTAATATAATTTCAGTAAGCAGCGGAAATTTACTTCAGCGAGCATGTCCTTGATGTGTACTTCCTTAATCGTGATTTTCTTTTCACTAATAACATAATCTTACCCACAAAACACGAGGACATTTTACATTTATACGGGAGTTCTTTTTAGATCACGTATTTCATAGTATGTTGAAGGAGTTTGTGATTTCTGATACGTAGGAAGCGTATAAAGTAATTTAAACCTTAATGTTAAATGATAGGATCCATTTTAATGTTATCAGTTTAATCGGCGTGGGTGTTTAATGGTATAATACTGAGGCTTGGGGACAGCTGTCGCTCCCTCGGGCGAGTCTAAGGGTTTTGTTTACAGCGTCCTAATGACGAAGAACTTATTTTCTGAATGAGTACTTACAATATAGTGAAAAATAGTTTAACTCTACCATTTTTTCATCAAAATAAATTTGTATCCAATACCAAATATGAATATCCGTGTAGTATAACTTTACGATATAGAAAAACTAATAAGTTTCTCTTCGAACAACACCGTTAATTTATCCGCATCAGTCGTTTATTACTGTTTGTCTTAAACATACGTATATTCACCTCATCTGGCATCAGCCCAATGAACTACGTAAAACTAAACGCCACACAACTCAACCGACATTCAAAATGAAATTACGAGCTAACATATTGTATGGTTGTCCATAAGTTATGAATTGTGTTGTGTGTTATATATTGATTAAGATTGTAGCATAGCATATTTAATGAGATAGGACAGACTTTTATCAGTGCTAGCCGCCCGCGAAGCATACGCCCAAGCTGAAGAAAGCTCTGTAGGGCGGGCAAGTTGTTCAGCAGCAGCGCCCCTGGTGGTAGTTTCCAGAAGCTAGTGTGTGGCGGCCATTGGCCGGTTGCTGTGACGTCACCCGCCGTCCGACCAATGGGGGGGAGAGCTCCGTTGCCCGGCCGCAGTCCTAGCTGCCTCGCCTTCGTACGAGCCGTGTGTCGCTGGCTGTCTCTTGCCCCTCACCCCTCGTTCCTATCGCCCGCATTCTAGTCGTGGGTGTCGCGCCGTGCAGTCCTCGCGTGTGTCGCCGAACTCAGTGCGCCTTTTGTGAGTGCTTTAGTTCTCGCTCGAGTGTCAGTGTGAAGGAGATACCAGAAAGCCAAGGCGGAGGATGTTAACAGCTCACGGTGAGTGGACATCGTGTCGTTGGACGCTTATCTTGATACGGCGCCACGTGAACGTGCACTATTTAGAAAATGTAAACACGCCGCTAATTCGATTTGATATATTACTGTATCGGTCACGAGCGCGAGCCGTCTACTTGTCCCCGCTAGGTAATAAAGATTGCGGAGGTCCAGATTGCCGAGTTCCTGCAAGGAGGTCGTGCTAGTGACGCGTAATTGTATATAAATGAGAGGGAGTCGAAGGAGTTGGATGTTTGTAATTATTGCAGTGTTCGTATCTGACGGCTGCGGCAGGTTTGTCTGGCGACAGCTTGATAACGTGACCTTGAAGCGGTGCGAATGCCGGCCGGCACTGGAGCCGCTCAAGTCCACGGAAAATATTCAGGCAAACAACGATAGAGCCGTTCTCTTACGTACGCGATGATAATGATACTACGAGTATATGACAACTAATGATATGCAACATTCCAAAATATTATGCTTGGTTAGAAACAGATTATTAAATAAATCGTTTTTATTGTTTTCGAATTAAAAAAACAAGAAATATTATTTGCCACTCAAATGACTAATTAATTTCAATGACTAATGCAAATTAACTGAGCTGTCAGTGGCGATCGCTGCAGACAAATATCGTTGTAAATTAAAGAGGAAACTGTAACTATTTTCCGGGAAAATGCTGTATTTTTTAAAACGAGGTTGATAATAATGAAAAATGTTGCCTTTCTGCTCCACTATAAGTTGAATAAAGCGGTCTGTGTAATACTAAAGTCGGTCCTGTTGGGTCACCTCATTACAGTCAGGTTTGAAACATTCTGACCATCGTTGTATCAACTGTAACTCGAAAACAAAATCCATTATTAATATTATATTTCTCTTAACGAAATATTAAATATTCAGCCTTCACACTGTATTAGGATGTAATAATATTAACTTTTTATTACCGATTATAATCCGTTAACAAAACTCGTAATATTAATATTAGAATTTCATTTAAAAACAATATTCCTAAAAATTTTAAAATACACACATACACAATTTTGAAAAAGCGGTTGGCATATGAGTTGTGATTGCTTAGTCTCACTCATTGGCGGATATATCGGTGTGAGTGAGATGGAGTGAATTCGCATCGAACGAACCGGCCATGCGAGATGCTCAGTCGTATCATAAATATTAATCAGGCGCTGGTGTCAACAGCCACCGCGTAACGTGATACTTCTGCGATCCCATGCTAGCCTGGTACTAACGTAGGAGAAACACTGAACGTGTAAAAACAATTGACACATTAAATCCATAATAATATTCTTTTGAGGACTTATCTGTTAAAACAAATAGTATTCGGGACGTTCTTAATGCATCCAGACTTTGAAATTTAGATAATACTATCGTATGAACATCCGTTTGCGCTTGCGCATGCGGCCATGACCTGCCCTACGGTTGATGCTGGATTCCTTTATTCGTATTTAATTACGGTAATTTGGAAACCTATTTCTATATATCTGTGGCGACGTCTGCTTATAATTAAGTGACAAGCCTTCAATTGATGTTACTTGGTAGCGTTTATGGTTGGGATGTATTCGCTTCAATTAGTCCTATATGTTGAATCCGGTATTGTCCAGCATGTAAATGGTTATTTTTAAAATAATATATTCAACTAAAATAATGTTATTTATATAAATTTACATATGCTAACGTTACATTTTATTACTTTTTTATACGTGAATTTATCTAAATTTATAAAATTTATTTTCAAACAGTTTTAATAAAATTTAAATAGTATAACGCATTAATTATAACTATTTTAAAAAATTCTTTTAGATTCTTAATTTCTTAACTTTCTGCGACTCATTTTTAAATTGTGTTATTTTATGTTTATGAATATTTAAATATAAAAAATAGATGAATATTAAAATTTATTCAACGGAATAAATAAAATGTTAGTTTAAATAACAGTAATGAACATATATATATATAAGAGGTATTATGGTGTGTTTATTGGAGAAGACTATGACAAGCTATTAAACCAGTTTCCACGTCTATACAAGGGTTAAAGATAATAAAGATTATTTGCATATTCTTACTAGAATTTAAATTTTCGCTAGAATATTCTTTTTGATATCGCAAACACGATCATTTTAAGGATCCTGCGTTATATGATAATGTAGAGAAACGTTCGTCGTTCATTGTTTGCGGATTTCATCAGCAAAAATAAAGGGAAATAATGAATTTCATATTACACGCAATACATGCTGGGTGAAGTCTTTGGTTTCTTGTTTCCGATGCGTCTGATCACATCTGCGATGTTTTGCCCCTGTGTGGGTACGGCTTATAGACACTTTTTTGCTCGACTGTACACGGCGCTCGCTCTCAAGGCGTGCGTGTTTAACTGTTTTTCCCTTTTTTGCTTCCAAGTTTTTATAACCTTATACTGTAAATAATTATTATAACAAACATAATTATTACGAAATATGCAATATACCTAGGCATTTATAGCTATCCATCTGTATTGTCGTGTTATAATTTATCCTTAATAACAATTAATAATAATAGTATATGTCAATACTATAGTCTGATAGTTTGTCTATACACAAAAACTGCAGGAAAAAGAGTGTTAGTATTCATTACAGATAAGGAAGCGTTAAATGATAGAGACACCCGATTAGCGTCTCTATGGGTGGGGGGGAAGGTTTCAATTTGTTTGATAGATTGGTTTCAGTTGTAGCTCACTGTATCCGAGTCAGTCGTAATAGGAGTCACGAGTTATTGCGTAACGCGGGAGGCTCGAACAATCTCAACGCGTTCACGTGGAATGCTTAAACATTTTGCGGAATATGTTTAACAGTCTGATTTTATCTTCCGGTTAAAAATTAATTAAATTCTTTTTTACTACTAGCAAAATATTAAAATTCAGACCGACTGGCTAGTAAAGGAACCGTTATTTTTTTCTCTTTTTAATTCTAATTAATGTAACTTAAAGTATAAAAAATAAGAGACGTCTTTTTTATAATATATTTTTTATAGTTATTTATAGTATATTTATTTTATGAATAAAAGATTCTAAAGGTCTATGAATAAAAGATTTATATGTACATTTTTAATTTTACTTCTTGATACGTCATTATGGTGTTTTCGTTATAATTATTTAAATAATTATAAATTAAAATTGAAGTGGACCTATTAGATAAGATAGAAGGCGGCTATAAGGTATTTTATAGTTTGCACTTATCATTACCTGATGATATGATTATTAAACATTGTAACATAATATGTACTTATTTAATCGAAATTGAGAGAAATAAACAAAACAGTTAACTTAAAATTTACATAATAAATAATGGCAGACACTTTTTTATAACACGTCGGATTACTTTATAATTGTACATACTTTTTTTTTGAATATGGAATTAATAATACTGCCCAATTAAAAAAATCTATTAAATATACATTCAAAAAGTTTGTATATATTGGTAAAAGGCGGAAATTCGTGACGTTATTGATGCTGTGAGTGAATTTGAAATATTCCGTACGGTGACTTGAATCGTTCTGATAGATAGTGATGATGGATGGCTTGTTATCAATGCTGATAACCTTCTGTTTCTTCACATCGTCTCACCCGCGCTTCGACATACTTAAGATGCTTGCACATTGTATGAAATTGCATTAATAATAGCGCTATACTTGACTTCTGTTTGCAATGATAATGCTAAATTTACACTTAACAGTGCCAGTAGCTGGTAAGGTTTGTAAAAAAAGATATATATTATTTATTTATAGTTAGTTTTATTAAAATTATGTATATATATAATTAACAATACAAAGCCATGGCCACTTTATAGTGATCCAAAAGATACACACATTTTTTTCTTTAAATATACTGTACTTTACATAAGATACTACAATAATATATGTTTTGGTAACCCAGAAGAAATAAATATGTAAAATGTAATATAACAATTTGTTTTCTAAAACAATAAGTCTTATTTATCTTGTGTTATCAATACTACCTGATAATCTATTGGCAGACTCCTCGAGCGTTTGTACTCATTGCTCATTAGTGATATTGGCTTATCGCAACACTAATGGTATTATTAAATAATAAATATCGAACGTTTCATTGTTGCATGACGTCATTCAGCATCTTAAAATATGTTCGAAGCATATGTAGCTTGAAAATACAATTGTTGGATAAACGGCTTCTTTACGTTCGTTTTTATATTAAAAATAAAGGATTTTTCGGAGAAACATGAAGTAAGTGTTCAATAAATTGTTTTCAATATAAACTATATACTATTTGAGAGTCTAAGAAATTTTTCGAAGGTTGAAACTATTAGCAAATATTTGCACCAGATAAGAGCACCTACATATCAATGACAAGGCCACAATTGTAAGATGACCCTGGACCCAGTTCGTAATAACATTCAAAACGAAACAAAATCATTTAACATTTACTTCAAACCAAAGAAAAAACGGAATATTATTTATAAACCACCAATTAAAAAAATCATATGCGACCGAAAATGAAATGCAAAATAAAATGTCACCGTATTTTTAGTAAAGCTATTCGTTTTCGAAACGATATTTTAAAATTGACCTTCAAATGTTTTCCAAAAATAAACAATTGAATTGATTAAAATAAAAAATTCTAGAGCAGTTACAAAATTTGAGAATGCAAAGAATCGTTCGATGTGATTCATAAAAAAAAACTGTCTGAAACATTTTCACTGGAATGGGAAACTGAATGGGAACGGTTCGGTAGTTGTCGTGCTGTTTCGGATGTATTCAAGGTCAGACTTCCAGCGGCCCCATTTCCACGGGGATCGATGGACGCCCCAAAAAACCCCTGAATGTTTCGGTGGTGCGTTTTCAATGTCAAGTGACTCGTGCGAGTGAAATCTCATTTATTGTACAATGCCGTGACTTCCCATTATTATTTGACATACCAAAAGGCTTGTGAATTATTGGCACTTTCATTTTATCAAATGCCATAAATACTTCATCTCTTTCAGTTATCGGTAATTAAAATTATTTTATTGTTTAAATAATAAGGAATAGGGGAATTTTCGTCAAATAGTCACGTAAATTCTAACAGAGTCGAAGTGTTCGAAAGCTATTAATTACAATATTAATTTGAAAACACAGCAATCAAATATTAGTAACTACTTTAAGTATTAGTTATAAGTGAATATTTTGAAATTCTGAAACCACGCGCCTTGTCCCACGATGGGGTATGTTTATACCGGTCTACAATATTCACATATGTTGGATATGTTATAGAAATCCATTGCTTATTACAATTGCATAGGGTACTTATTGTTTTGCAGTATAAAAGAATTTATCACAACACTTCCAAGCATTCCAAGTTCGAAAGTTCGCGTATTATAAAATAAGGAATCGCTTTTATTGTGTCCACTTTTTACACACAAAACT